GAGTAGCAATTTCACAAAGGTGAAAAGTAATTGCCCCCAATCCAGCCCCTGGCCTTCTTAGAGGCCCCTGCAATCTCTGGTTTCCTGTGAAACCTGAGTTTGGAGTTTCTGATGGGGGCTTCCCAAGGACTCTTGCATTTCCTCTAGCAGGGGCTTCCTTAAAGTGTGTTCTGGGGGACACCCAGGTCCTGAGGTTGGGGCCTGGACCAAGACCAGTGCCATAGGATGGTGGTGGCCCCCTTCCTGGGCCTGATCTTGGCTCCAGAGTAACAGTGACCCACTCACGTCACTAGCTTCCGTGGAAGCTCCCTTCCTCCCACCTGAGGGCCCAGGTAACTGACACCCTGAGCTGGGGCTCCCATACTCCCCTTTAGCTCCTTGTATCATTTATATACTTTCTGCAACCTTTTTCTCTTTGACTATTCAATTCCACACAGACTTATGAAGAATTCGCTAAATGCGCAGCCTGGTCTGGAGACACAAGGCGAAGGACACAGCCTTCTCCACCCAGGAGCTCACGATCTACAGGAAGAGGCCAAAAAGCAGAATGGCCCCCGGTGCATTCTCTGATAGTGAGGCAACAGAGACACCCACTTAGAACGCCTGACTATACCAAGTGCTGGTGAGGGTGTGGTTCAGCAGGCGCACTCCTGCTGGCTGGCAAATAGGGGAGTTAGAATCTCCTCTTGGGGTCATTTGACATTTCCTAGCAAGTTGACAGTGCACGTTCCCTACATTTAGCAATTCCATTTTTTAAATTCTTTTTTTAAAAAAGATTTATTTATTTATGTATACAAGAACTGGGGTACAGGCCAGAGGTGTGGGGGGGCGAGAGGATTCACCAGAGACAGAGTGGGGAACAGAACAGGCAGACTGACTGAAATACACTGCTGAGGGGAGCAGCGGGCGAGTCAGGAGAGGTCTGCTGTGCCATGTGGGTAGCTCCCCAGCCAGGGATCGAACTCATGCTACAGTGGCTGCAGACAGCTTCGTAGGTTTTGCCTTAACCCCTTGCGCCACCAGGGAGGCCCCATTTTTAAAATTCTTACTCTAGAGGTTTTCAAACTTTTTTGACAGGTATCTTCAACATAGGCAATCCAGGATACTGTGTGATCCAGACACAACTTTCACCCTCATGTTGCCCAGATGACATGTGATGCATGTTGATATTTTTCTAATTAATTTAGAGTTTTAAAAATAGTGACCTTCGACCACTAAATCGATTTTACGATCCACTAATAGGCCTCAATCCACAGTTGGAACAATGCTGCCCTAGAGATCTTCAGGTGTGTCTTCAAGGAGACAAGAATGTTTACTGCAACATTGTTGTAATAGCAACAACCTGATAGGGTCTTCATGGTCACCAGCAAGATGGATAAACAGATTGTGACATGGTCAGGAAATGGCCTGTCTCACTGCTGGGGATATGCACTGGGTGACACCATTTATATAAGATGCAAAACTCTGCAAGGCAATAGCAGGCATCGTTCATGGGTATTTCTGTGTGTGGAACAAGCAGACAAACTGCAGGGAATGCTAAATACACTCCAACCAGGGGAATGGAGCCAGGTAGCAGTGCATAGGGAAATTTGACTGAATTTTCAAGGTCTAGTTCTTAAAAAACATACATTGGAACCAAAGTTTGCAAAATACTAAGCCTTAACAAAACTGAAGGAAAGGTACAGGGTATTTGCTGTGTTTTTAATACAATAGTTTATTATTTTTTTAATATTCCACAATAGAACCAATATATCAGGAAGACTTTGTTCGGACTGTGAGAAATAGAAAGGAGGAAGTGGTGGAGGAACTCCAGAAGGCCAGGTAAGGGGAGGACTGGGCTCCTGGGGACAGAAAAATGAACACACCCAGTCTTTTTTTTTTTTTTTTGAAAGATGTATTTATTTATGCATACAAGAACTGGGATGTAGACCAGAGGTGCGGGGGCGGGGTGTGTGTGTGTGTGTGTGTGTGAGAGGATTCACCAGAGACAGAGTGGGGAATAGAACAGGCAGAAGGACCGAAATTCACTGCTGAGGGGAGCAGCGGGCGAGTCAGGAGAGTCTGCTGCGCCATGTGGGTAGCCCCCTGACTGGCCGGGGATCGAACTCGTGCTGCAGGGGCTGAGGACAACTTCACAGTGCTGTGCTTAACCTCTTGTGCCACCAGGAAGGCCCCCCAGTCCTTTTTAATTGGGGGGAGCTGTGCTGAAAACTTTGCCTACTTCCCTCATGTGTTGGTAGAAGTTCTCCCTATTTAATAGGTGAGGAAACAGAGGCTTCCCCATTTAACGGGTGGAAACAGACTGAGAGCCTGCCCCTGGGTATTTGCAGGGCTGGGGCTTGAACCCAGTCCTGTGAAAGGCAGAGGCTGTGCGCTTGGGAGCTGCACAGCGTGGTTTCTCCTCTGCTAGGGGTGCAGGGTGCTAAGGGTGTGCTGGGCTCTATCCTGCGAGCTACAGGAGGTTTCATATGGGGGCATCTGAGAGAACTCAGTGGAACTGTTTTCTCTTTCCTTCATCCTCCTTCCCCTTTCCCTCCCTCCTTTCTTCTTCCCTCCCTCCCTCACTCGCTTGCTCCCTCTTTCTTTCTCCAGCTGAATCTTTTTTTAAACAAACTCTAACTCAGGACCCAGATATATGTGTTTACAGTGGAGCTGATTTGGCAGAAGCAGGTGCCTAGGACCTAGATCCCAGGCACACCATGGATGGCATGTTCAGAAAAATACCTCAAAGCAGTGTGTGTGGCAGGAGGCTGCCCTTGACATCCCTAGCAGGACCTCTCAGGGATGGAGCTGTGCTTCCCGCTCTGGGTCTTCCTGGTTGGTGGAGGGACTGAGGCTCAGAGCACTCCCAGGTGGGGGAAGAGGGAGAACTGGAATGGGCTTTGGCAAGACAGGTCTGGCCTCCACTTCCTGGATGGCAGAGAGACCTTCGCTGTGTGCGGAACCACCTATGTGAATCTTGGATCACGTCTCAGGACATGGACCCCTGGATGCAGCTGGGGCTAGAAAGGAACGTGTCTTGAGTGCAGCCAATGGAGAGGGTGTTTCTAGCACAGCCCTCTTCACCCTCTGGTCAGGGAAAATAAAAATGACAACTGGGTTGAGGCTGGTGATTGGATAGGAGTCTTGTGCCAGCAGAGTCCTGGCACATAGTAGGCCCTCAATAAATGCTATGGGGTGGGTGCATGTTTCTCTTCTATCCTCAGGGAAGTCAGTGGACTGATTTCTGAGAGCAAATGGAACTGTTCTAGGGGCTGGCCAACTGCAGGTCCAGCGGGGTGCGGGGGAGTGGAAAGAGGACAGTGCTGGGAGTCTGGGACTGCACTTCGGGGTCCTTTGCCCATGAACCTGCTGTGTGACCCTGAGGCTTCTCTGGGCTACTCCTTCTCTGGGCTTGGTCATCTCTTTTGGCAGAATGGTCTGGGTGAGGTTTTGCCAACTGCAGTTTGCAACCGATTTGGTCCATTTCAAAAGTGATTTAGTGGGTCACAATCGGTATTAAAAACAACGGAACAAAGCACTGAAATAGAACAGAAAATATCAGTGCATCGCAGGTCATAAGGGTAAGGATTGTTTTGGGAAACTATTGTTTCACTTATATACAGATGAAGGTGTGGCCTGGGCTGATGTAAAACTTATTTGTTAAGTGAAAGAATTGTACAACACTGAACTCAGCCATCTTGGGGGTGTCCTCAACCCCCCTCCCCCGCCCTAGGGGGAGGGACTGAGGTTCAGAGCATCCTAGGGGTCTTTGCGGATAAGCCATACACCCAGGGGCTTTTTCACTCTCCCTGGTCAGCAGCTGTCTCTTTGCTCTTAGCTGCCTCTCTCCTCCCAGGGTCTCTCCCCTTCCTGCTGGAGTTGGGAGCCTCCTCCTTCCTGTCTTCTAGGGATAAACCCCCTCTTCCCAGGAAATCAGGGTAGGGGGCTCGGGAGGGAGTGAATATGATCGCATGGGACTGGCAGTTGGCACTCTCCCGGGAGATCAAGTAAGAGGACTAGCAAGCAAACACCCAAGCCCCCGGGAACAGAACAGAAAGGAGGTGAGCCGGGTACTGAGTGTGAGGGCAAGACTTGGTGAGCAAGAGCCGGAGGGCAAGACCCAAGACAGCAGCGGGTCCCTCCCAGGGGGCCTGGTCGTTGTTGGCGCTGTTAACTAGCAAAGGTAGCTTTCTCCCCTGACCTCTTTTCCCCCTTTTAAAAAGAAAGACTCAAAGAGCCAAGAGTTTTGGAGCCAACTCCTGGAGAGGGAGCGGCTGAACTGATTCGGAAGTTGGATCTCTTTGTACACAGGAATGCGTAGAGAAAAAAACAAAACCCACCCCATTGCTTCATTTCCCCTCCAAGCCTGAGCATTTTCTATTGTGCAATGAAAAGGCTTTTCACGTTGAGAAAAATAAATCCCGATTTGCGCTGCGAAGGAATGAGCGCGCCTCTCGGCGCAAGACGGCTCTCAGCTGGGCGCCGGGGCGGCGAGGTGGCCGGAGGGCGGCCGCGGTCAGGGCGCTCCCGCGTGCGTCCTCGGCGGGCGGCTCCGGGTAATGCCTGCGGGGGCGCTGGACTCACCCCCCGGCCCCCATCCCTCCCGCCCGGGTGCCAGCACCGGCTCTTAGCGACTTAGGGTCGAGGAGTAAGTAGTCCGGGGAGCCCCGAGGGCGAAGAGCCCTCACTGAGCCTGGGCCTCCCAGGGCTGGCGGTTCCTCGAGTCTGGAGACTTGCTGGAGCTGAAACGCAGTCCCGGGGAGCTCTTGGCGCCCCAGAACTCCTCGGAGCGGCGCGGGGCAGGCGGCGGGTTGCGCGTCCGGGAGCCCGGCCTGGGACGCGCCAGGGGCGCAGCGCGCGGGAGGCGGGCGGGCGCACATGGGTGCCGGCGGGCGGGCTGCGGCGGGGCGCCGCGCGGCGTGGGGCGGGGGAGACCGGGGTGTGGTTTCTCCGCCTCTCGGGCGGGATTTGCATGTGTGTGTGTCGGCCCCAGACTTCCTGCTCCCTCTGCGCTGCAGGTACGCGCGGGCCGGGCCGGGCGGGCGGGCGGCGGGCGCGCGGAGACGCGGGCACCTCCTCACCCGGACGCCACCGCCGGCTCCCGGGCCACGCCGCGTCGCCTTCCGCTCCGTTGGCCGCTAGCCCGCCCCGGCCGCGCAGGGAGCCCCGCTCCGAGGTGGGGGCGCGCCCCGTCCCGCCCGGAGAGTCATCTCTTTCCTCCGCACCGACCCTGGCCTTGCGCCCCCGGGCGCCACCACCATCCCGGGTCCCCTGAGGGCCGCAGCCATGAACGAGATGTCCAGCTTTCTCCACATCGGAGACATCGTCTCTCTGTACGCCGAGGGCTCCGTCAATGGCTTCATCAGCACTTTAGGGTGAGTGAGTCGAGTTCGTGGGGTCCGCGAGCGAAAGGGGGGCATGGTGGGCTTGGTGCCAGTTGCTTGCCTCCTCCCGCGGCCCCCGACAGCGGACCTGGGTGCCCCTAGTTTCAGGGAGCGAGGGCACGGTTTGCCTCCTTTCGGAGAAAGGAAGTGAAATGTTTGCCCAGGTAGGAGTCAGGCATCCTGTCGGAGTTGGCCGGAGGCGCTCCCCTCCGCCAAGCCCCCACTCTCGCGCCTTCGCCCATCTTCAGAGGAGGGAGAGGCCGAGACTTCCTCTGCAGGTGGTCCAGGGCGGGGGCAGGTGGGTGCCCGTGGCCAGAGTGGGGGGAAAGGCATCCGGGCCTGGACGGACGGGTTCAGGAGGTGGGGCGGGGCTGTGGGCGGGGGTGGGCAGGCTCGGTCTGGAGCCAGGAATCCTCCGGCTGCCAACCTGTGCTACCTTCGCGGGTCGCAGCAGAGCTTTCTCCGGCCCTAACCCGCTCCCCCCACCCCCATCCAGTAGGAGTGTCTTTTCAGCTCTTCCTTTCCTAGTGGCCCTGGTCCTAGCCTGGCTGTCCCCTCTCTCCCCGCCTCTCCCTTTCAATTTCCTGCGCAGCTCGTCTGGCGCCCCTGGGTCCCTGGTCCCAGGATCTGTGGAACACTTTACAAACATTAATTAATTCTAGCCGCCACCCCCCAGGGTCTGGGCTGCATAAGTAGGAAATCAATTCAAGTCCTGGGAGAGGAGCAGGCCTGAAGCTGGCATAGGCAGGACAGGAACTAAGGAAAGAGCATGGGGTTATCTCCAGAGGAGCAGTTGGGTAAGTGGCTGGGGGTGGGGACTGAGTGGCTTCACCGCCTCTCCAGCCAGGGCAGGGCCTGCTATCTCTGTCCCATTTTCGGTCTGGGGACCTGTGTTGTCTCACCCTTCCTATTATCACACCCAGCTGCCCTCTGGGGATAAACCCTCCCTCCTTTGCTGACCCTCCTCATCTACAACCATTAGCTACAAGGTGCCTCCTCTTGGGGGACTTTGGAGGACAGCCCTGGCACCGTCAACCCAGGGCTGACTCTGGACCTGGCCTGGCTCACCTGAGCCTGGCAGGTGGGAGTCACCTGCTTCCTTGGTTTCTCCCAGTGTTGCTGGGGTTTAGCTTTGGTCATTTTGGAAAGTGAATCCAACAGGGTTGTGGGGGTTGGATGGCTGGCTGGGCCAGCAGGAGATTCTGGCTGGGAATTTCAGCAAAATCTTCCCTCCGTATCTCAGCACTCCCAGGCCTCTCATTCCCCCACCCCTGCAGAAGTGGAACCCCTAGCTTCTGTCTTCCCCCCATTACATCTGACTTTTCTTGCTCAGTTCTCCAGAGGATATGAGGGTAGCCACATCTGGGCCAGCATCTGGCAGCCCTCTCCCAAAGAGTAATGCCCAGGGCCCTAGCTGTTTCCTGATCGTGGCTGCTGCTTGGGGCCAGGGCCTGCACAGGGCAAGCACACAGTAAACACTAAAGACAAAGCTGAGGGAAGGGGGAGAGAGCGTGAGGCCTCTGGTTGACCTGGGAGCAAACAGATGGTGGAAGCCCCCCTCATAGTGTCCAAGCAGCACTGGCATCTTTTGGAAAATGACCCTTTTCTCTATGACTTAGTGCCTGGCTGAGAACTGAACACAGTGGTTTTTTAAGCCTGTGAGCTCTGTCAGCATGGGGGAGGCGTCTAATTCTACTCTCCACCCAGGCCTCACCCCAGACAAGGGATTCCCTCTGTTGCTTCCTGACATCCCTCCCTCTGTCTTGGCACTTCCTGTCCCAGGAAGCGGCTTCCTTCAGTCCACTTTGATGCTGGGGCAGGACCTGTTGACTTCTGAGAACCTTCTACTCCAGGGTGCCTATTCCCTTGCAAACACCTCCAGCAGTTCCCGACTTCCTCCAGCAGTTCCCAACTTACCTCTGATAGACATCCACACACTCAGCCTGCCATTCTCACGGCAGCCCCTTTATACGTACATGTGCATTAACGGCCCCTCCTTCACGGCCTTCGACACTCCAGGTTCCTGAAACCTCCCCCTCACTCTACTTTTGCTCTTGTGTTGCCCCCACCCTCCAGCCAGTCTCCACGTGGGTAAATCTGACTCACCCTCTAGGACCTGGTATAAAGTGCACTGTTTTGAGAGATCTAACTTATCACCCCCACCCCCAAAACCTGGCAAAATTAACCCCTTTTTCCCCAGGCTTCAAATTGCTTTGTACAAACTCTTCTCTGGTGTTAATTGTGTTGTTTTACAATTAGTTGGAGGTTTCTCTGTAGGACCGTCTAATGCTGGGCTGCTGCCAGGATTAATTAATTAATTACACCATTCAGCCACTCAGCATGTCCACAGGCACTGTCTTGGGCACTAGGGATTCAGTGGCAAATAAGGCAGCTGTGCTAGAATCAATGACAATGATCACTAAGCACCTTAAGTCTTTGCTACCCAGAAGATAGTCCTCAGCAGCACCTATTGATAGAAGCGTGTTAGAAATACAGAACCTCAGGGCCTCCCCGGTGGCATAGCCGGTTGAGTGCAGTGCTGTGAAGTTGTCCGCAGCCTTTGCAGTGCAGGTTCGATTCCCGGCCAGCCAGGGAGCTACCCACATGGTGTGGTAGACCTCTCCTGTCTCGCCTGCTGCTCCCCTCAGCAGTGTTTTCGGTCTGTCTGCCTGTTCTGCTCCCGGCTCGATCTCTGGTGAATTCTCTCACCCCCCACACCTCTGGCCTGTACCCCAGTTCTTGTATAAATAAATAAATCTTAAAAAGAAATATAGAACCCAGGCCCCACCCCTCCTCTTGGATCAGTATTGGGTTTGGTCTCCTACAGTGCTTTGCCCTGAGATGCTTCGAGATGAGAGATGCTTTACTCTGAGTGGTTCTCTCTGCTCCATCTTTCTGTCTCCATCCTCAACCTTGGTCTCCTGTCTTCACCCGGGCTGTTGGTGCCCGTGTTTGTGAACCCGGGAGGCTGATTTGGTGTCCTACAGGTGCCCACTAAGGGCTGAATGGAATGAATTTGTTGAAGACAGGGGCAGTGGGAGGTGGGAAGGAGGGCATTGGTGGGGGAGTCAGATTCTGGCCTAGCTCTGCAGGGCAAAGTGGAGGAGACCAATTAGAGCCGCCTGGATAATTAGAGCTCCTGGTGAAGATTGTACATTAACTCTGGGTTGGGAGGACGGGAGAGGTCTGGGGAGTGGATGCTGGAGCAGGTCAAGACCTCAGCTAGAAGGAAAGCAGGCCCACGCCTGTTCTTGGCAGGAGAACTAGCCAGGGCCACTGCCTTGCCCCTTACCCCAGGTGGGAGGCAGGAGAGGCCAGGGCTGGAGTGACTGAGCAGGGCCAGCAAAGGGCAGAGGATTTAATGTGGCTTCAGTCGGGTGCTAAGTGTGCAGGGTGCGCCCCTCCTGTGTAGTCCCTGGAAGATCTCCTTTGAGTGACCAGATGGGTGTCCCCCCCCAACCCAGGAAGTGAGCTGGGGAGTGCAGGTGAACTGGGTCTTGAGGTTGAGCTTTGAACATTTGTCAGAGTGCCTCTGCCCACTTACAGCTTGGGCACTTACAGCTTGTGCTTAGAGCACAATTTTGTGGGCTTTCAGGTCCTCTGGACCATATCACCCAGAGCTGGGTCATCACATGGAATAAGGTCAGAAGACCTCACCCCTAACTTGGGGTTCCCTGTCCACCTTTCAGTCTGACCCATCACTCAGGAGGGTGGGCACAGGAGGTCAGGACCCGGAAGATGTAGAGGTAAATGTGGAGGAAGGCCCAGATCCCAAGGACAAGGACCCTTGGCCTTTTTTGCTTTGTCACTAAATCTCAGGGTGATTTGGCACAGCCCTGCCTTCTCAGAGTATGTTTCTGTCACACTCTGTTACACTCCTAAGGTGCTCTGTTTGCACCTGAGAATCCCCTGGGGTGATTAAAAAAATTCCAGCTCCTGTGTCCCATGTCAGAGAAACCAGATCAAAACTTGTAGGGCTGGGGTCTGAGGGTTGGATTATTTAAAATCTCCCCAAGTGACATTTTAATTTTTTTTTAAAGATTTATTTATTTAAGCATACAAGAACTGGGGTAGAGGCTGAAGGTGCGGGGTGTGAGAGGATTCACCAGAGACAGAGTGGGGAGTAGAACAGGTGGATCTACTGAAAGACACTGCTGAGGGGAGCAGCGGGTAAGTCAGGAGAGGTCTGCTGCGCCATGTGGGTAGCTCCCTGGCCAGGGATCGAACTCGTGCTGCAGTGTCTGCGGACAGCTTCATAGGTGGCATCTTAATCCCTTGTGCCACCAGCGAGGCCCTCCCCAAGTGATTTTAACATGAACCTGGTGCTGGGATCCCCAACCTGAGGACTCCCCAGGCCACCAGGCTGTAATGATGCCTACCTGTTGGGTCTGATTGTCTCCGTGGCCCAGAGATCCCATCTCAGTCTGCATCGGACTTCATTAAGTCATTCAGCAATCGTTTGTTAAGCATCTACTCTGTGCCAGACACTGTTCTAGTCATGAGGGGATCAGTAGTAGCCAAGACAGAGTTCTAGCCTGTTCTAGTCTATCCCATGGGGAGCTGGGATTGAATGTCTTTAAGAACCCTTTGAGCCTTAAGCCCCTGAGATGCATGTAAGTAATTCCAGGAGGGGGCACTGCCCCTCCCATGCAGACCGCATTCCCTGGGCTGATTTCAGACCTGCCCTTGGCTTTCATTTAATTATGATTTCATTGGAATGAGATGTCGGACTTACCCGTCTCCTATACCCCAAGGCAGGGTCTTGGCCTCAGCATGGCCAATCCATGTAACTCAGTTTTTAAAAATACATACTTCTTCTGATTAAAAGATACTATATGCTCGGGGGAGAAAACCTGAAAATCTCAAAAAATTATCTGAAATACCACTGCAACTATGTTAACATTTTGTATATGGACCTTCTAGTCTTTGAATACACAAATATTTACCAAATGACATCACACAGCACGTATGGCCTGGCATCCTGTCTTTGT